TTATTATTATTATTATTATTATTATTATTATTATTATTATTATTATTATTATTATTATTATTATTATTATTATTATTATTATTATTATTATTATTATTATTATTATTATTATTATTATTATTATTATTATTATTATTATTATTATTATTATTATTATTATTATTATTATTATTATTATTATTATTATTATTATTATTATTATTATTATTATTATTATTATTATTATTATTATTATTATTATTGTTATTATTATTAATTGTTAATATTACCATTATTATTATCATTATTGTTATTAACTATTATTAATTACCTCTTACTGTGGAATAGTTCAGATTATCGGATTATTATTAATTGTTAATATTACCATTATTATTATCACTATTGTTATTAACTATTATTAATTACCTGTTACTGTGGAGTAGTTCAGATTATCGGATCGTTCGGAATGCTGCAGACAAATCAAGTAATAAACTCTTTTGTTTGAAGTTATTTCGTTCGTGATGATGTGAATAATAATACCTGGATAGATAAACTGTCTAGACAAGCAAATGCAAACAAGCTATTTGCACAATGAATTGGATCAGTTAGTCTTTCCTTTTAATACTGGATGGCAAGTGGTATTGAATAATCGGATGAACTTAATAAATTTCATCAAAGAACTGAAATAGAGAAGAAAATAATATTTTTAAATCACTGAGTTTTTACATATATCTCCAAGAAATGATTTAATGAAAATGATGTTTGCATCCTTTTCTGCTGCTAAAAAGGTCTCCTCTTAAATTTTGGACTTCTGTTGAAGAAATTCCGGATCTATCATCGGAAGCACTTTTTTTTGTCTTCTGTTACCTTAACGGCTTTACCGGCTTTAGTAAAGTTATTCGGCAATGTAGAGCTGTTGCAAAGATCTCGATTCCTAGACGGAAGAATTGTTTTCGGTACAGGTCTTTGTTAGGGATTTCATCTGCATTGGGAAGAAAGGGAGAAAAGGTTCCTTGAAGAGGAATCACTCACTGTGTTATTCGGGTTGGCGTACGTAAAGGTGGCGTAACGTAAAGGTGGCGTAACGTAAAGTTGACGTAGCGTAAAGTTCCGGATTTGATGTGTCACGTCTCTGTTCTACATATACCGTAAGCTGAATTATTATGGGCGATACAGAAGAGTCGATCGGTAGAGTTTTTGTGTTGATTGTATACAGTAAATGGTGATTAGGGGATTTACCACATACGTGCGTATATTCTCACTGTGCTTTGATTTTATCCAGAAAACATGGAGTTTGAAGTTTCATTTTGAAAATGTTTTATTTTAACATTTTATTTTCGTTGTGTTCAACATAGTTCACTTTTCCCACTCAAGTATGTATATACTTTTCGAATTATTGTTTCTTTTTCTGCTGCAGGGTAGACTTGAGTTTAGTTTTAGTTTTTTTTCCGTTAAAGTTTTTTCTTTTTTAGATAAGAATACGAGTTTCTCATAAACGTTTCACATTTTTTCTGCACAGGCATAAATCTTAGTGCGTTTAAATTTTCGAAATGTGCCTTTACTTGAAAATCAACTTTGGTTTAGTTAAATAAGAAACTAATTCTTTCTGCACGAGAGAAATACAGTGGTTAAATAGTATGGATTTTTCAGTGTTTTTTTAGTAGATTTAGCTTTTTTCTAAAAATATCTTAGTAGCTTTAAATTAAAATAGCATATATTATTTCAGCATTTTTAAAAAAATTGTTGTAGTGTTTTCTGGATAAAAGTGAAGCTTCCGGATAGCACGGGTTTATATTGAGCTATCCGGTGTTTAATAACATGTCACGTGCGTGTTAGACATGAGTACGTGTAAGTTTCCGGAAAGGGGTGAAATTCGCTGCTTAATTGGACTAACGGTTATGTGGGGATTCAGCTTTCTTTTTTTTGCTTTAAAACTTTCGTGGTTTTAAAATTCGAAGGTTGAAGTAGCACACATCGAGTGACGTTCTGACGCGCATTTGTTATTATCAATCCTTTAAAATTTTGTTCAAAAAATTATCCATTTATGGATTCTACCTCGTTTTATTCTTAACTTACTAAATGTTAGCAAAAAGTTTCAGATACCAGTGTGATGGGATCAAATAAGCAGAAGAAAGCGGCGAAAGAAAAGCCACCAGCTTCGCCATGCGGGTAGTCCCCATAGATACATATTTTTGAATTTACCGTTTTCGAAATCGATTTCATTAGGAAGGCGTAGGAAATGTTTTATTTGTTGTTTTTCACATTTACTTTTTGCTTTCTTATTCGCTTCCTTTCTTGGTTTTTTGTTATAAAGAAGGAGAGGGAGAGATCTCGGAGGAAGGAACGATGAGGTGAAAGTTAAATGTTATCTTTAAAAACGAGAACCTTCATCAAATAGTTTATGAAAGATGATGTAAATTTTCCAAAGTGTAAGTTTTTTACTTCGATTAGTCATGCGATGCAGGCCATGCGCTTGTTGTCATAATGACCATGACGCAACCACGTGTGAACAAAGTGAGGAAGGCTGAAATGTTTTGTTCAGTTAGATTTCCAGCAACTCGACTAACATTTCCCATTAAATTCGCTTTCTGTTTTCCAGGCAGATGTGTACATATATGGTGTTGTATGTTTTCTTATGTGATGTGTGTTTGTATATGGGTGTGTTGTGTGTGTATGTGTGTCTTTGTGTGCGTGTGTGTGTAACCCATCTTTGTAAATGTTAGTCTAGGTATTGCTGACGAGAACATCTCTTCGCCTTTTACCTGCACTTGCAGTTATTATCTTGTTATACATTTATATGCATTATCTTTGATTAATTTTTACTTTGTTTTCAATTTTTGTCCGAATTTGAAAGGATCTTTTACTTTTTGATTGTAGAAAAGTAAGTCTTTTCCTGATTATTGAAAAATAAGGGATTATGCTGTAGTTTTTTCTGTTAGAGAGGAAAGTTCAACAAACACTTAGATTACTGCGATTACTGCGGGGCTTGTTGTGAATTGTTATGATGTTTCAATTTTTATGTAAATCTCACTTCGAATTATCATGCTGTAAATGGCATTACCTCTTCTCATTTTGCTGTTTAATCACCTAGTTTTATCGTATTTTAATTAAGTAATTGATTCTGTTCAGTTCTTCGAGCTCGGGAGAAATCAGGGATGATAGCGATGGTGAAGCTGAGGATACTACTCGTGTAGCTCAGTCGGAAACTACGTTAGCTTTTCATTTTCGTAATTCACACGTTTTTTTTTCCTTTTTTTTTCATTTCTTCATAAAGAAATTGAGATTTCTGTTCTTCATTACTGAAAATTGTATTATTCTGAAATTAGATGGATGGTTTGGATGTTTCTGCGACTGCTGATATAGAACTTGATTCGTAGTGTATTGTAGTTTACTTGTCATTTGCAACTATGATAGGTGATAGACTGAGCAGTTCACTTTCTGAATTGGTGTAAAAAGTGATGTTCGCTTTATTTTTTTATTTCTATAAATTTTTAGAAAAAATGGTTTTATTGAATATAACAGAAGAGAATTTAAAAGGGATTTTCACGTCAGTCGAGAACGTGATCCACCACAACGGTTTGATCCAGATAATGATTATCGACATCCACATTTGACGCCTGAACAAATATGTCTTCGCGTACGAAAAATTCCTGCACCAGATGTGGTATGTTCCATAAATTGTTTTTTTGCAGAGTATCACTGTTTTCTTAAATCCTTGCGTATTTGATAATAGATTAATAGTTAAGAAACAATTAGAAGAAGAAAAGGTCACAGTGGGCATGTAAGAAATAATTCCTTTTTTTTTGAATTTATATTATAATAAATCTTAGTTCCTTTTCAGAATTTCTTATCCATTTTAAAATTGTGAATAATTAATTACGTGTACTGAATTTCTTACTCCTTAATAATTTTTTTAACAATTTAAATGATTCATTAAAGAAATTTCCCATCGCTTCCTGTGTCCTGCTGTCCATAATCCTTCCTCATCTCTGACATCTAAAATCAGCGGTTTTAGCTGGTAGAACTAAGTGATGTAGGTTTGCGCCATTTATTATCCGATGTGCACGAGTTGGATCGGGAACAAATTCGACTTTCCAACAATCGTCGAAAATTATTGGAGTTTGTTTTTGTTTCAGTTTATCTTTTTTCTCTTTATATGTAGTTCAGTGGAGGTAGTATAGGTTTCGAACATTTTTCTTCGAGAAGAATCGAGAAAATTTGTTAATAAGCTGTTCAACAGGATCTCAACCCTTCAGGCAAATGCGCCAAATGCATAAGCAAGAAATAGGATCGTTGCGGGAATGTATGGAAACGTTGAAGAGATTGATGAGTGAACGTGGAATGAATTTATTAGCCACTCATATCGGACAAGATGTGATGGAATTTCTGCATGAAAAAGATCAAACTTTTAATGCAGGTGTGGCATTGCATGAGAAGAATTGGTTAATTTGAACTTTAGCATGCATCAGATAATTCAGATGATTCAGTTGGTGTCGTGAGCTTCTTTTTAAATCTTCAGTATCTTTCACATTCATATATAATCACATGCTCTTTGCCATCAGAAAATACATTAAGCTACATGATCATGTGTTTTCACTACTTCTGGTGCAAAAAAAAAATATCCCATCCATCTGGAAGATGTTGTCAGTGCATTAGATATTATCGCCATATTGAAGGAATGAGTTTTTCGTATGTCAGCGAATACTGCTACTTGATGTGATAAAAACTATCGTTTGTTTTCAGGAAGTATACCGTTATCGACAAAGATGCAGGATCCATCGTCGGAATCATGGTATTTTTGTTCTTTCTTGCTGTTCAGTATGAGATCCTTGCAATACAAAATGGTTTTTAATTTTTTCCGGTTCTCAAAATAGTATGTGTATCTTTTTCCTGTTACTATCTATGGATTTATATATATTGCAGCCGTGGTTACGGTGTTTTTCCGAAAACTCAAAGCTTTGCGCAGAATTCTCTGCCACCGCGACCAAATTTCGTTCCGGAACGTTCTGGCCCTTTCAGTTATTCTCCAGTTGCATCAACAGTACCTGGACCACTCATTTTACCACCTCCAGATTTCTCAGTTCCTCCACCATTTCCCACTCATGCATTACAAGGTTGTTTTCTTAAAGTGTTTTTATCGGTTCAGATTACTGTTTTTTTTCTGCTTTTGCGTCTTTATTATTTCTTTGTTCCCAATAAATAAAAAATGTTCAATAAACAATTAATTTACATGTGTTCCAATACTTTTCCATTTGCTTTATTTTACAAGTTTTAAGCAGGAAACGATCAAGGATTCGAAGGCCCGGGTACATCGGCTATTGACACTCGAGATGTCTCGGTAATTCCATATTTTATTTGGAAATTTGTCCTTAGCAAGAAATACTTTGATTTTAAAAAGCACTTACAGTGCAGTCTACTAAAATGAACTCTGGGGGGGGGGGGGGGGGGGAAAAAAAA